CTCCACCAGCAGATAATACCTTTTATTCCTCATAGTTTAGTAATTATGGTTCAGACATGTCCAAGAAGTTTGAGTAAAATAAAAGACATGTTGGAAAGCTTACATTTAATTTTGAGATTAGTTATTTTAACTTTGAGACACAAGACAGTCACAAAATTGACTTTAAAACAAGAAGGCGCTTCTACTCTGAATTTGGTTTAGAAAATCCACAAATGTAGACTAATGCAAAGTCTTCAAGATCTCCTGGGATCAAAGCAAGAAGTCTGCTGAATGACCTGTTTCTGTAGACTGGGTAGACAGTAATTCACACAGGTAAAATCTAAACTGGGGTAGTAATGGCCAGTTGTGCCCCTTGCAAAGTATTCTTTAAAATCTTTTTACAGGTTGGAATTGAGTGAAATGTATGTGTGGTGGTGGGTAGGGAAGAAAATTTAGAGTTTTGTGACATCATTTGAAAATAGCTAATTTCATAAATATTTTTCTTTAACTACATTATTCTAAAGATAATTTGAAAAAAAAAAGGCTACCTCCTAAATTACTTTCAAGAGAGTAAGTTGGGTATTTCTAAGAAATTATAAATTACATGTTTATACTTACCTGTGGTCAGTGGGACGGGGTGCTGGGTGAACACCCAGGTTTGCACCTGGGTTATTTGGTGTCTGGCTATGCAAACATGAACTTATTAACTGGGCAGAGATGGAGACAAGTGGCAGTTGCCACATCCCCTCTCTAGAGAATTGTACTTATTTCACAGGGCTATTGCAATAATTAAATGAATATTTTATACATGCTTGCTAATACTGTAATTGGCACATAAGCTATTACCTCTAGCTATTGTTCTGATAGGGCTAGGTCCTGAGACACCTTATATCCAAGGCTGTTAACAACTAGAGATCAAATTTCCAGATAAAATACAGGAAGTAGGGTTAAATTTGAAATTTAGATGAATAACAAATACTTCTTTGGTACAAGTATGTTCCAGGCTATTAATATTTGGAACACACACTAAAAATTCCATTATGTATCTAAAATTCAAATTTAACAAGGCATACAGTGTTTTTATCAACTGTAGCAGCCCCAAGGGGAGGAGAAATGTGTTCAAAGGGGACCTTCTAAGTATTACCAAAGATGTTTACATTGACTGGGCCAAGAGACCTTTGGTCACCAGCTATGTGGACAGTGTGCTCCTGCCATTAACAGGAAAAAATGTACCAGAAATCTACTGTTTCTCTCATCATTCCAATTTCAAATTGGTGGTCTGGTGCTACTGTTTAGTAGATGAGTATCTACTGGATTTTGTCTCAAACACATAAAGCTTAAATGATTGGTGAGGTAAGACTTACAAAACACCCAACATGAGTGTACACAATGAGAAGGAATAATTGCTAGACTGAGCAGCAAGACTAAGTGCTGAGCTTTCAGAGGAAGGAGAGAGAGAGTCAATGAAAACTAGACTAGTGAAGGAGGCATTAAAAGTAAACTTGAGCCGGACACTGGTTACTCATGCCGGTAATCCTACTCAGGAGGCAGAGATCAGAAGGATCAAGGTTCAAAGCCAGCCTAGGCAAATAGTTCATTAGACCTTATCTTGAAAAAACCCATCACAAAAAAAGGGCTGGTGGAGTGACTCAAGGTTTAGGCCCTGAGTTCAAGCCCCCGTACTGAAAAAGAAAAAACAAAAAAAAGAAGTGAGCTTGAAAGATGAGTAGGAGCTGGCCAGGCAGTGGAAATCTGACCTTCCTGGCTCTCTGGACGCTTCCCTCCACACTTGGTTCCCATAGAAATACTTTATGACTGGTGAGCCTGGTATATCAGACAGAGGCTTGAGTCAATGATTGATAGACACTCATTGTCCCTTCACCTGACTTCCTGATAACCAGCAGTATGGACAGTCTATATGTCAACTGATCTGCTGTAAAACCATTGGGTTGACTTCATTTCTTTCTTATTTCCCTAAAGTCCAGGAGCAGTCTGGATTTTCTACCAGGGTTGCTGAATGACTAGGGGTTCCCAGCAGGGGCAAGGTTTAGGGATTTGTGGTCACATCACTCTGTTTCAACTTTTTGTCCAGGACATACTAGCAGAATGACACTCTGCCTGTCTGATTTCAGGGTTAGTGGTATCTTAGGGCTCTGACTGAAATATGCATCATGGTCAGTAGGACCTGACCCAGCTAGGGATTTCATCTCTTTTAGGTATCAGGAGTCAGTATGGAAGGAGAACAGATCATCTTAGAACGATATAGATTACAGAGTAACAAGCTTATATTTTAAATATCAAGTAATGAACATTGTATGGAGCCTCTATTTCATGAAAACATGAACAGTGTGTGTGTGTGTGTGTGTGTGTGTGTGTGTGTGTAGCAGGACTGTAGAACTTTTGGACTTCTGAAACAGATGTGACAAGTCACACCCCTGTGATAGGAGAGTGACTAAGTAGGCTGGGGATACCACCAGTGATATAGCACTTGCTCAGCAGGTATGAGACCCTGGGTTCAAGCCTCACCAAAACAAAAACAAAACAGAGTCAGCAAACCAGAAGGCAAAAGTGTTGAAGGTCTGTGGACTTAAGGGCAGTGACAGGAATGGACGAGCCTTGTCTTAAATGTTGACTCATATATTGCAAGAAACTATTTGAGAAAAAAGTTGTAGGATATTCCAAACTGGTGAGGGTGGGTGCCAAATGATAGCATATGTGATGCAGAAAGGGACAAAGACTTTTTGGAAAAAGCAAACACTCAGATATTTCATTCCCATTTCGGCACAAAATCCTTCAAACCGTTCCCAGAAATCATGGCATTTCCAGCCCTGTATTCTCTACCACACTTATTTTGTGTTATTGCAAATTTACCACCCCTCACAGTCACATATACACCCACCTCTCCCCTTAGATGCTTGTAACAAGTTACTTATGGTTCAGCACCAAAGCTTATTCTGCTCTCTGTGCAAATGGAGCCATGAGGACAGTGCTATGCACACAGAAAGCCATTTGTGTGTACCTGTCAGGCTGCTGCTGAATCTGGCATGGAGAAGAGGCTCATGGGAATTAGCGGTACAAATGAGAACGAACAGATTCTGAGAAGGGTCACTATGAATTGAAGGTTGATCAGAGGTGGACAGTGAAGAAAAAAGGATTTTTTTAAAAAAGGAAGAAAACAAGAAACCCACACAGACTGGATGTGGTAGTATACACTGTAATCCCAGAATTCAGGAGGCTGAAGCAGGAGGATCACCAATTCCAGTTTTTAAATTGAGGTCTGGGAAGGTCCCATTAAGTGGAGGCTGGGATGTGTGGGCATTGAGAGAAGCTAATGAAAACATGACAGCCAAGCAGGATGGAATCCAGGAGGGAACTGGGAAAGCAGCAGTTTAAAATGTTAATTGTTAATCAGGCAGAAGATATTTCAGTGAAGTTTGATTCGTGTGATAGAGGGTCTTTAAAATTTACTTCCATCCATATATTGTGAATTTATGTTAAGTAAACAGTCTAATCTCTTTTACGACTCTGTCAACTAGTAATCTTTGGACTAAAGCACTATCCAGTGCGGTATAATTCACACACCCCAACCACACAGGCGTTTGCTCTGTTTCTCATCGCCCTGCTGATTAGGACTCTTCAGACCTGTGGCTCCAGCACGTGGGCCACGGATCTAGATGCAAACAGCCCAGTCATTGCCTGATGAGGCTTCATCCCGAGCGCCTCATCTGTAAATTAAGGGTACTCCATTAAAGACAACTGCGAGTCCCTTGCTGTCCTTCAAGGCCACACTGCCAACGTCATTTGGCTGCAGGGTTGGAGAAGAGGCTACTTCTTCAGCTGACTGCGGAACCCGCCTGGGTGAGACTTCTTCCAAACAGGAAAATGAAAGTGGGAAGCTTTGCAAAACCTGCACGAGATGCCTGGCTGCAGCTGCGTTGGTCCCTTCATCCAGGAGGTGGAACACCGGTTCATTGAGTCTAATACGTACGGATGAAATTATTTAGCAGTGGCATGAACTAGCCCAACAGTTCCCAACAGCTCACGCTAGACGGAAAAACCGCGCCCAAGCCCTGGGGTGAAATGCACTCGCTGTCCCTGGACAAGAGCGCACGCCAGAGCAGGTGCATCCCGGGACCCTCGGTCCTCAGGGAAACCGCGGGGGAGGGGCCTGGCTGCCAGCCTGGGAGGATGGGGACGCCTTTTCCTCGGTCTCTTGAATTTAGTCCCCGGGTTGCCCTCAGGAGTGGAACACATACCCTGCGGGCTGTCCCCGCGCCACCTGGCAGGAATGTGGGGCGCGTGATAGCCCCGCGCCCTGGAGAGAAGTGAAGCGGAAAGCAGAGTACCAGGGCTCCGTGATCAGCCAAGGAGTGCCAAGATCACAAAAAAAACAAAACGAAACAAAAAAACCCAGCCCCCCTCCCCAAAACAACAAAGGATGGAGAGAAAGAGGAGCGGGACCCAGGCCCGGACCCACAAGGGAACATCCCCATGCCGGGCCTGGCGGGCGGGGTCTCGCCTTGGTGGCCCCCGGGGCGAGGCTCTGCGGTGTCGCTGCACCGCACGGGGAGGGCTAACCAGCCACCCACCTCGCCCTCATCCCCACGGCCCGGTTCAAAGCCAGAAGCGTGGCTCGTCTGCGGTCGCTGGCTTGCAGCTCTCTGCAGCAAGGCGGGGCCGTTACACCCCGGCACCGCCCTCGGCCTTCTGCGCCTCACTTCCGCCGCTCAGTCTTCCCACCCCGGCAGGGGGCGATGGGCGGCGGCCCCGGTGCAGTGCAGAGGAAGGGAAGCGCCTGCACCCAGAGCGCGCAGCATTTCCGCCTGGCCCCGCCCCGACCCCACCCCGCGCTCAGGCCCCGCCTACAAACACGCCTCCTTTATGTGGCTGGCGCTGTTACTCGGGCGACGGCTCCGCCCTCTGGCCCCGCCCCGGACACGCCCCCGAGGCGCCCCGCCCTGGTCTCCGCGCGGCCGCCTGTCCAGCTGCAGTCCGCAGGAGCCGCCGCCGCAGCCGGCCGTGGGCAGGATTCCCGGGGCCGTCGCAGGGAGCCGAGCCGAGTCGAGCCGACTCTCCGCGCCTGTGCTTTCGCCGCCCCGGCTTGTTCCTCGCCTTGTCGGTCCGCTGGCCGGATCTGGCTGACCAGCACGCCCTCGGGCTCCGAACCCAGGCTCCGGGACCGCCGCAGGGACCCGCCCACCAGACCCTGCCCGGGGCCGCCAGTCCGCCTGTTTGCACTCTGCCGCTGATGACACCGGGCAGAGTGCCACCATGGAAGGGGACGCTTCAGACTCTCTGGTGAGCGAGTGCGGCGGGGCCCCCCACCCCCTCTGAGGACCCCCGTGGGAACCTCTGCACCCCCGAGCCCAGGGCCCGCGCCTGGAGACCCCGCTTCCTCTTCGCCTTCACTCACCCTCCAGGCTGGATTCCAAAACCGGGAGTCCCCAAATTATCCCCCAGAAGGGTCGGTCTTGGGGTTCCTTGGGCCCCAGCGCCCTCCAGCCATGACCACCTCCGGGAGTCCCGGCTGGGCTCTTGAGTGGGATTCTGGCTGGAGAAAATGGCTTTAGGGACCGGGGTGGCGGGCCAGGATGCGGGTCCCCGTGGGTCGGCCGCCCTTTGTCTGGGGGCGCTGCGGGGCGCTGAATCCCGCCCGGATTCAGCCGCTGCCTCCCGGGAGCCCCAGCTTTGCCTGCTCGCGGGGCGCGGCCGGCCGGCGCCCTGGCAGCCATCGAGGAACGCGAGTTTTTGTTTGGAGGGGTCGGAGGTGCGCGTTTTCCAAAGTTTCCCCACCAATACCTTGGAAGCCACAGTTCTCTTAAGATTGTTTCCTTCTCAGTCAATATAAAATGCACAGTGATTTTTTTAAGTAAGGATGACTTTATATCCATTGTGATTAAAAGCCAAATGGTTTAGGAAGAAAAATGGAAATGAGTTGGGGTTTGCCAGTGAGAGGTACACCTTAACCGAGGATGTTAACACCCCATTATGTAAAATGAGGTGTGAAAATCTATTTAGGACAGTATTTTTATTTGAATTGGTGTCCAACTCTTTGTTAACTGAGGTGTGATTTCCTGAGTTCTTTGATGTGAATTGTGAGGTGTGGTCATCTTATTTCTAGATGTATTAAAATTGTGCAGGATGTGCCATAGTGACATATTTTTAAATATTTAATTAAATATTTGCGTGATGCAGTCAGACACACTGCATTTAAAGATGTGCTTGCTGACAGTGATGAAGCCAGCTGGCTGTGGTGTCAGCTGTAGTGCAACAGTCTGTGTTGTCAGGATGATTAACGTGCTTTGTGTCACTTTAGCATACATTTTGATTACATTAAAATAAGTGAATCAGATAAATTCTAACTTTATGTGCATTTCTGGTGATTGAAGTGATGGATTATGCAAGGTCATGAGTGATGTTGAACTGTCATAGGGACTGTCACACGTCTATGGCAGGGGTGCTGCCCATAGGTCTTAGAGGATACCTGGGAAAAGTGCACAGGGAAAGGCTGGAAAACGGTTTGAAGTCATCACACCTTACTTATCAGAGTCTAGAATGTTCCTCCTTAAAAATGATGAACTAATGAAAGCCTATAGTATCAAAGTGCTTATAAAGGTACATCTTAGTCGTCTACGCCCTTTTACTAATCTTAAAGTGCTTTTATAACCGTGCTGATATATAGCGTGAGAACCTCAAATGAAAAATGGCCATTTTTAATGTAGAAAATTGGAAACGATCTAGCTTGTAAATAGATTTCAGCTAGGATTTCATGAACATACTGATAAGCCTGTTTTTGTTTTTAACCATCTCTTGTCATTTGCCAGTCTCAGAGTCAATGCACTGAGCAGGAATATAGTACATTCTTAATGTTATATTCTTTTTTTTTTTGTGTGATGAAGTCTTGTTCTGTAGCCCAGGGCTGGTCTCGAATATTCCATTCTCCTGCCTGAACCTTCTGAGTGCTGGGATTACAGGGATATACCACGAAGCCCAGCAAGTTTTTGATAAAATATTAGGGTCCCCTAGAATTTTATACCAACTTTTTTTCTTATACCTTAACTTGGTGTCCTGTATCCTTATGTCCTGGCATTCCTAAGTTCTAAGCTCTGGATATTGAAGGGAGGTTGAGAGCATGAAATTAAATAGTTGAAGAGGACTTCAGATTTAAAGAAAAATCTTCTTAATTTTAACTTTTTGGAAAGGTAAGAGGTTTTGACTGTTTTTTTTTTAATTCTAAGGTGACTATTAAGAATATCGAACGAGAGCTCATTTGCCCAGCATGCAAGGAGCTGTTTACACACCCGCTGATTCTTCCTTGTCAGCATAGCATCTGTCATAAATGTGTAAAAGAACTCTTGCTGTCTCTGGATGATTCATTCAATGATGTGGGATCAGACAACTCCAATCAGAGCAGTCCTCGCCTTCGGCTCCCCTCCCCTAGCATGGACAAGATTGACAGAATTAACAGACCAGGTATGTGGCATAGCTTGGGGAGGGGTGGGAGGAGTTTATATAGCTATAACTGGGGAAGAAATAGTTATTTTTGTCATTTGACTGTTTATTTTTCCAGATAAATAATCTAAAACTATGATTCTAAAGAGTTCCTCCCACTTCAAATGTCAGACTCTTGACTTTGATATGCACTTAAAGTGGTTGCTGATCACCCTTTATTAACTGTACTTTAGGGGATATTCTTACCTGTGATGTCCTTGATATGATAAAATAATGGACCACCCCACTATGAGGGAAATATCCATATATGGTAATATTCAAATAAATACTGCAGAGTGAAGTATGGACAATGGCTGATCCCAGAAAAACTTTTCAGACAGATTATCTGGTATCTTTCCACCTGATGGTTTGAGTTTCTTCAGCCATTTTTGATCCATTTTAAAAATAAGTATTTGAACATCATAAAAGTAGAATTGTATAATGCTATATCAGTAGATCTAGTTTAATATAGCCTGCATACTGTACCTTCATCCCAGGGCCAATGTTTAGAGTATTTCCTGTTGAGATAGTGTTACTTTTTCTTCTAGACAGGTATTGTAGGATTAGTGTAGATCAAAGTTAATTTAAAATCACCAGAAATGCTGCCATTCTTAGTATAAAAATTTGTAGTGCAAGCAGGGTGCTGGTGGCTCACAGCTATAATCCTAGCTACTTGGGAGGCTGAGATTGGGAGGATCAAAGTTTGATGCTAGTCCGGGCCAGTAGTTCGAGAGACACCCATGTCCAAAATGACTAAGCAAAATGGACTGGAGGTGTGGCTCACATGGTAGAGTGCCTGCTTTGCAAGTGTGAAACCCTGAGTTCAAACCCCAGTTCCACCAAAAAAAAAAAAAAAAAAAAAAAAAACCCAGAGAGAGAGAAAAAAAAGAAAGAGAAAGAAAAAAGCAGTGAAGACCAACGTGGATGGAAACAACCAAAGCTCATGTCACCATGTCTCTTGTGTTGAGGAGAGGATTTGTGACTCCAGAGCTTCAGCTGTGTCCCATATCCAACTGTGTCCTGGGTGAACTTTGAGGCTCCAGATTTTATTCTTTTGTCCACTCAGTCAGTTTCTCCCTTTTAGAGTTAGGAGTGATTTTTAACCTTTGACTTTCTTTTCCAGAGAACAGTCTCTTCCTCTAAGTTGCATTTTAAAGAGTGCCATTTTTAGGGGGTCCACACCATGATGGGGAGCCTCCTTGTGTGAGAGTTATGTCTCTGTGCTCCATCTGAGAGAGAATGGATTTGTTAAGGGTGATTTTGTGCTGTTTACATATATTTTTTTCGTTAAATGTCATTCACTAATAACTGAAGATATTTTGGACATATAAAAAGTATATGTAGTGTATGAAAATGGAGAAATGAGACCTATTGAAACCATTCCAGGAATGGGGGAGAGAGGATAAAGGAGAAAGATGGAGGGGGTGAATTAAACTATGATATATTGTAAGCACTTTGGTAAATGTCACAATGTACCCCCAGTACTATAATAATAAAAAATTTTAAAAGTTATATGTAGCAAGTTGTGAGGAGGCAGGGGGTAGGAGGACAGACAGGATAGGCTCATTGTGAAGTCATTACTTTTTTTTTTTTTTTTGGTGGTGCAGGGACTCAAACCCAGGGCCTCCAGCCTGTTAGGCAAGTGCTTTCCTACTGAGCTGTACCCTCAGCCCTGAAGTCATCACTTTTATGTTTTTCTCCTTGTTGAGACTCCCACATACTGAGGAGGGGGAGGAGGACAGTTATGGCTTGAAGTCATCCTATCGGATAAAACTTGGTGTTCTATTAGTAGGTCTTCATGGGCTAACTGGGGATCCATGCTTGATTGACCAAGGAAATAGAGCTTTGTATGTGTGTTAATATTCAGCACAGACCATTAAATTAGGTTGTACTCACATATTTCATGGAATCCTGTATTTTATGTAGGCTTTTAGCTTTAGGATTAGGCTACTTTTCCCATGTGATTGGTAGGACATTCTAGATGAACTCACTCTAGTGAGCTCACCTGAGGTGCTTACCTGGCATGGTACTGTGTACATGCCTTGTTACATTTGTTGAATGGATGTTGAAGCTACAAGATTCATACAGAGACATGCCATAATTTCCTTGTGTTCAGTAGTAGTACACCGTTTCTTCAGAACACAAGCTCCATGTCACCAGACAGCCTGCTGTCTAGATTAGGCATAGCGTTACTGAGATGTTCCTCCCCCTTTCTTCAGAAAGAACACGGTGAAGTTGGATTATGTCCTGAGGGAAATAGTGAAGAGTCTGAAATCATTATAGGAGACAGGAATGTTTAGCTGGGCACTGGTGGCTCACGCCTGTAATCCTGGCTACTCAGGAGGCAGAGATCAGGAGGATCCAGATTCGAAGCCAGCTGGAGCAAATAGTTCGTGAGCCCCTGTCTCGAAAAAACTCATCACAAATAAAAGACTGGCAGAGTGACTTAAGTGCTAGAGTGCCTGCCTAGCAAGTGTGAGGCCCTGAGTTCAAACTCCAGTGTTGCCAAAAAAAAAAAAATCTATGTTTACCTCAGGTAAGGGAAGGTGACAGCCAAGTGTGGGTGAGGAGAAGCAGAATTTCTGATTCAGTGAGTCCATGGAATACAAAGGCAGAGTTAAACTTAGCATGAAAGAATATGAACCCCCGACCCTCCTAAGGTTCTCTGGAAATGAAACGGCTACTTAACTCTATCTGAGCCCTGTCACCAGGAGCTTTTAAATCAGGTGTCAGACTTACATGCTACAGAAGCCAAGCAGGTATGTTAATGAGGCAAGTTCCAGGCAGAAGGAGCCCTTCTTCATTTTCCTTCTACTATATATATAGAGGGACAAACATTCTGTTATTTCAGCTACTATCAGAAAACCAGCAGCCCAGTGTCAGCAGCCAGCTGATTCCAGCTTCCCTGTTGGACTGTGGAGACAAGAATGGGTACCTTGTTAGCTGGGGGTTCTGAGAGCACCAGTGAATTATCATCTAGGGTTGGGAACACCAGATGGTCAGATTTATTGGTTTGTCAGAAACCTGGTGGTAGTCTTCATGTGAAAATATTGTCTATTACTCAAATTATTTAAAAACACAGTTCACCGTAGAGCAGGACTGCCAAGCATGTCTGACTCTGACTTGTCCAGGTTTGGCCATCATTATTTGCAGTCTTTGCTTTAAGCAGTGGCTGGCTGACCACTGTCTGAGAATGTTGTTAGAAGGAGGTTGTGCTTTGGGCGGGAGCTGAGATAGCCATACTGACATCTGCTAGATGTCCTCCAGCACTGACGTTCTCTGCTGTATTGAATACCAGTGGCATTTATTCATTCAACAGATACTTGAGTGTGCCTACTGGTTTCCAGACACAGACATGGCTACAAGCTGAAGAGTGACGGCCAGAGAGACCTGTCCTTCTAAGATGCACATAATAGTTTAGCATTGTACAGATCTTCCTAAGAGAAGCGCCCATTAGAGTTTAGTCCTTCATCAAGAATACATACAGAGCAAGTTAATCAATACAGGTAGAGCACCAGACCATGAGACTGCTAAACACTGGAGGTTATAATCGAATGAACACAAATTGTAGGATTGTCTTTCGTGTGGTAACCAGCTTTAAATTAGTAGAAGTCAGTGCACTGTAAGTAGAATGCTACCTTCCATTTATTGGGCATTTGTCTATAATTTTTCCTTGGATAGATTTAAAGATTAAGTTCATGGGTAAGTGATGCACCTTCCTTTTTTTTGATAGATTCTAATTGTTTTTTTAATCAGTAAAATGTACTTGAGAAGGAAACCAGAAACCCTGTTCATAGCAATTATTGGTATGGAAGGAATAGAATTCTAAGTTTGCAGTAGTCACGACCATGTACAATGTTAAGTCCTTTAAATATGGCTGCTCTGAATTCAGCATGCTGTCAGTGTAAAATGCATACTAGATTTCAGAGACTTCACATAAAAAAATCCTAAAGAATTGATTTTTAGGACATTTAAATTTTAGGATATTTGATATTAGGATTATTAATTATGATACTATTTAATGTTAACATATAAAAGATTTAATAATTTATGATAACATTTAATATCAACATGTAAAAGAAATAATTCTTAATATTGATTTCATTTCAAAATGATAATATTTTAGATATAACAGGTTAAATAATTTGTTACCAAAGTAATTTGACCTGTTTACCTTTTTTAATGTGGTTACTGGAACATAAATTGCATGTATTGTTTTTGGTACCAGTAGTTCATTTAGATGATGATATCTTTTTAAAAATAAAAGTATATTTTGAAAGGAGAATAAGGTTTCTGTGTGTATCACAATTGCATATTAGACTGTGTAAAAATAAAAGATGTTACTTTATAATTCTGATCCTTTACACATAAGCTTTCTGTCCATTTTATATTTCCCTTTTTTGTCAGAAAAAGAGATTAAGTTTTCGTACTGTTTACTTAGAACTTTTAGGTCAGTAAAAAAGTCAAACAAGACCAGGCACTGGTGGCTCACACCTGTAATCCTAGCTACTCAGGAGGCAGAGATCAGGAGGATCGAGGTTCAAAGCCGGCCTGGTCAAATAGTTTGTGAGACCCTATCTTGAAAAAACCCTTCACAAAAATAGGGCCGGTGGAGTGGCTCAAGGTGAAGGCCCTGAGTTCAAGCCCCAGTACCACAAAAAAGTCAAACAAAAGATAATTGATTTCACTTTGTACTTCGAACAGTTACAAGAGAATCAATTGTCTGCAAACACAAATCTATAGGTCTCTTACTGCACCAATGCTGAGTTGTTCTGAGTTCTAAGAGAGTGGCTTGAATGTCGGATCCTGCTGGCTTCATCATGCCGCGTGTACAAGGAGGACACATTTTTACCATTAATTCAGTAATCGTGTTATGCCGGGTCACAGTCACTGCTGTATCTTTTGTTACCACGCTGTGAATGTTCTCTTTGAAACTTAATTCTAAATCCAGCTTTCTGTTCATTGTTCACAGCCTCACAACGGAGGTCTTTGGGGTGGAGAGGTAGAAAATGCTTTGCTGCTTTTGTGGCTGCAGGCAGTGTAGTATTAGATTTAAATCTAATCTATCTGGATTAGAGATATCTCTATCTAGAGACACACGGTTCTCTAACATCAGTGGTCAAGTCTTCAAAATTATATAGAAAGTCAATGAATTGGGCTGGAGTGACTTAAAGGTCAACAGGATTCAATTTCCAAGCAGGTTGTGATATTTTTAACAGGCACACTGATGACTCATGCCTGCATTTTGTCAATATACACAACAAGACGTTGACATCTTGAAAATACTGTATACTTCTTTAGCTTGCTTTAATATATGGGAACTGAAAAAAATTTCACATGTTCTTAGTGTGGAACAAAGTTTAATATGCTACGTTGGAGATATTACATAAGCCAGTACTAAAAATCTGATGAAAGATACTGATCATTTTTATAATTAATAACATACTCTTTGCTTGTTTCATGCACAAAGTGTCTTTTCTTTGTCATTAACCTTTTAACATATTTGGCGTCAGAGTTTTAAACTGAATTTTTACCCACTTGTGGGTAAATGACATACATTGCATTTGTTAGGCTTTCTGGAGTATGTGGTTCTATGTGAAAATGAGCCAACTTATCTTAATTTTTTAAAAATTTTACTCCAGTTGACCTTTAAAGGAAAATTGGCTACTTTTTGGTGAAATGCTGGTGATACCTTCTGTTTCATCTCCTGAGATAATCCCTTTTCTGTTTTCTTCAACCTTCTGTATCTTTTGACTTAAAAACCTTCTAGCTACACAGAGTCTCTGAGAATTTTAAGTATTGCAAGTTAGTAATACAGAGAAAAGATAGGAGCAGTAGATTGAAAGAAGTTAATTTTATATATCTGGTTTTGATTCAGAGGGGAGCTGAGAAAAATAGTTTTTTGCAAGTTGAAGAAGCTAAGTTGTACCAGAGGGTAACGCATGGTGAAAATGTACCAAAAGAAACATTAAGCAAACATCAAGAACCCAGCATGGAAGTCCATGTGGGGAGAGACCAGGTGGAAACAGTGGGGAAGTTGTTTGCAGTCCAAATATGGGAGAGAAGGGAGAAGGCAGAGTTTTGGAACCTGTGATGAGCTGACTCTCTTCCCCTTATTTTGAAATATCTTATTTCCTCTTTGATATTTAAATGGTAAAACATATGGCTGAAAGCTGACTTTTTTGGAGAAATTTGCTGTAAACTAACTTGATAATATTTCACACATTTTAAAACTCTGCCATGATTTATGTTTAGTGTGTCTTTGAGATAATGTAGGGAAAATAATAGATTTTGCAAGTTGAGAGTTTTCACATATGGTTCCTCTGACGGACCATTGCTTGTTGCGTATCTGTCACTGCCTTACCTTTCCAAGCCATCATTAGTTTTCTTTTTCATTGTGTCATGCTGTAGAGCAGTACTATCCAAAAGAACCTCTGTGGTAATGTAAATGTTCAGCCTGTAACATATACATGGTGGTCACCAGCCCCAAGTCTCTTGAGAATTTGATCTGTGGTTATCGAAACCAGAGTGTTTATAATTCAATATAATTTTAATTAAAGTTCAATAGCCATATGGCAAAGGACTATTGTATTAGCTAGCACAGCCATAGAAAGTAGGAAGTTGATTCTATCATATTTTGAGTCCACTGTGTTTTCTCTTTCCCATTAAATTTACTTTCTAGCTTCACCTTGGGTCTGTCCTGTTTTTTTTCTTTATTGTCCTGAACTCAGGGTCTCATACTTGCTAGGCAAACACTCTGCCAGAGATACACTCCCAGTCCCTTAAGTCTTGATTTAATATTTTACTTGATTTAAGAAGTCCAATGTGATGCTTTATACTTTATCTTTTTACTTTAAAATAAGTTAACAGAGGGTATACAGAAAAGGGATGAAAGATCTTTTTTTGAAATTTTTAAACATGAAGACCAAAATCTGGGTGTCACCAGTATACATGTTTAAAGCATGATTTTATTGTCATGACTTAATTTGTTTTATCTCATTACTTAATTGATCACAACCTTCATAAAACCAACAGTAGCTCATGTTTAAATATTCATTAATTTCCATCACTGACTTCATGTGTAGCCATGTGCAATTCAGTGTGAGTTTCCATTTGTTTGAACTTGACCACTGCACTATCTCACTTCCAGAGTTGTTTGGCTTGTTCTTTCACCAAATGAAATTTTTCACTGGCATGTGTTTTAAAACTAGCTTTGCTGCTTATTTCATGACATGCTTGCTGTGGTGTGAAAAATCCCGACTGTATTGCATGTTTTTTAGAAATACCTCAAGAATATATTTTGGGTAGGATTTTCAAATTTTTGTGGAACATTTTTTTGGTATGCATTAATGTTTAAAAACATAAAGATTAAAGTGCCTTTCAATGGAGATATTAAAAATATTCTGCATGTTTTTTGCATAAGTGGCTTTGGGGTCCAATGTCTAAATTTAGCATGCTATAAAAGTCACTTAGAATAAATACTTTGGACTGATTGCTGAATTTTACATGTAGTGATACATGATACGAGATTTTTTTTAAGATATTCTTTTGAGCCATGACAGTCATCTGAAAAGGTAGTATTAATGTAGCTATTTAGAGACCTTTTGTAAGTGTGGTATACTAAGTGTAACCATTTATTTTTGGTACAGGATACATGGTAGTGGGAACAAAGGCTGTGGGTTAAGAGGTTTCTCTACTAAGGAAATTACTTTGTGAGCAACCAAGATGACATACTCTAAGAATAGACTTTAAATGAGAGAGGGATATGATATGCTTGCACCTATGTAACATGGACAACTCTGGATTCCAGTGAACCAGAGGGTAAGGGCTGCTGTGCCTTGGTTTGATTTGTTAGAATGGGATTTTTAAGGTCATTCATTGTATAGTATGTCTAATATAAATTTACTTGAAATACTTTTTGGGTAACCTTTGTGTTACTGAATTAAATAATCTCAATGATTCTTTGTTTCAGGTAATAAGAAGATACTAAATGGTTGGTCCCTCTTAAAGTGTAACTACATTCTTAGGTCTATGAATGAGTTTTTCACTCTTGTCTAGATAGCACTCAATCAACTAGTATCTCAACTACTAAATTTTTCCGGATAAAACAATACTACATCGAGAAACCTTCCATTGTAATGGTTCTAAAAAATTTTGTGGTCATATATCCCTTTGAGAATCTGACAAAAAAACTAGATTAACCAAAAATATATGAAAAATTTCACACACAAATTCAAATGGTTCATGGACCTGCCTGGAGCTTATCCATGGGTCCTGGGTTAATGACCCCTACCTACACTTTCTTGTGTCATCCATGTCCTCTCAGTCAGCTAACGCTGCTCCCCTTTAAATGCTTCTGGATGTGGTGTATAAAAGTAGCTATAAAATTTCAAAAGATCCTGTCCTCATGTAGTATTGTCTTACATGTTTTATCTTCATGTCAATGTTTGGTTTAATATGGGTTTTATATGGGCTTACTGGAGAATATTTTGCTTTTCTCTTTGATTTGATAAACATTTACTAATTTGAGCTTGTCTTTTATATACCCAGGAAGAATAGTTTTTAGAAAAGCTTTTGAAATGCAGCCTCTTTGGAAATTAGGCTGTAGTAGAGAAATGTCTCTTCATTCTAACCATTCTCCTGCTGATGTAACTAAACAAAGACTTTCTGATTACACAGGCTGGAAGCGCAATTCTTTGACCCCCAGGACAACTACTTTTCCTTGCCCTGGCTGTGAGCATGATGTGGACCTTGGAGAACGAGGAATCAACGGTCTGTTTCGGAATTTCACTCTGGAAACAATTGTGGAAAGGTACCGGCAGGCAGCCAGGGCAGCCACAGCTATTATGTGTGACCTTTGTAAGCCACCACCTCAGGAATCCACAAAAAGCTGCATGGATTGTAGTGCAAGCTATTGCAATGAGTGCTTCAAAATCTACCATCCGTGGGGAACTGTGAAAGCTCAACACGAGTATGTGGGCCCTACCACGAATTTCAGACCCAAGGTGAGTTAGGCTACACACTTAATGTCATGGAAGAAGTCATAATTGTAGTGCCTGGAATCTGACAGAACAGAAATAACTCTAAGAGCAGATATAGGAACTTAAGGCCTGGGTGTTGGAGTTATTTAGCATGGGACTAAGCATTCCCAAAGGCTTAGAGTTGTGCAAAATTGTGTTTCCTGTGTTACACTCTAGGGTAATACAACACAAGAAATGAATGTTCACATCGATATTCTGAGTAGTAGGGGATGATTATCTCAGATATCCTATGATTGAATGGTTACAGTTAAAAAGTTTTGTGCTTTTGTGTCATAAACTCACATTTGCCTTTTCTCAAACTATGTCAGTCTGGCAATAGATTTATCAAATAGCTTTGAATCCTCTGTTACGTTCCTTATCTCATTTTAAATGCTCAAGGCCACTGATTTTTAGAAATTTGTGATTGCAACCTGGTGTTTAAATGTTTCTTTTAAAAGATTAATTAAATTGATTGATACTGTTCTATCATGAAAGAACCTCTGATTAGTAAATGAATTATATTAAGTTTTGGTTTTTGTGAGTTAAGGGTTTCATGAACTTTGCATAAATTGCAGTCTTCATAGTATCTATTTACAGATGTAATGAAAGATGGATAAGAGAATCTAAGAAATACGAATAGTTTATATTAAGAAAGAGTATTTTCTCTTCACATTGTTTGTGCTTTTCTATATAGCAAAATTCTCAAAGGTTGTTCCTTTTACTGTAGAATATTTGCCTATAACTTTGAATTCATTTGATAATTCTCATAAAAAGCCAGACTTCATGTTTTATTTTAAATCTAATAGCTTTGATAATTAGGAATTAGACATTCTGAAAAGCTTGACATCTTTTCTAGTTTTTTATTCTCTAAAATCTACATTGATTATTAGTAGGCCTTTTCATATTGGACCTTTTTTGTTTGTTTTACACATCTGTAAGTTATCAGACCAGTGATAGTTGCCCAAAATCTAGTCCACTGAAATCATGAACAACTTTTTGATTTCATTCACAAAAAGTACTTCTTAACTTAAGGAAATACTCCCTTTGTTCCAAATGAAAATGATTATTTTACATAAAATTGAATGATAGTTTAGAGAGTAAGTGAAAGTGAAGATGCTTAACCAAACCAGAAAAACTGTTGGTCAGTGTTTGTGATTTAATAAAGGCGAAAGCATTGGGAGCTCGCATCACAAAGTGTCTGGGGGTTCTCTCAGCAGAACGGTTCTTGTAGAGATAGCTGGACACCACTTCTCCTAAGTTGTTCTGGTACAGTGTACAGTATTGGACAGGGTCATTAAGAACTGCCTAGTCCACTGTGGTCAGAGAGCCTCTAGCTTGACTAAGCTTTCATTCCTCTTGAGTCTGATTGAGTGAGACTTCCATTTATCACCAAATCGAGGACAAATAACATCTAAATATTTAACCATTTGAACCCTCGAATTGAAAAATAGTAATTCAAATACAGAGATTTTTTTTCATGTGATATAGTAAGCATTTTTATTTTTTTTCATTTAAATGGTTCTGTTTGTTGATTTTATAAAGCAAATCTTTGTATTTTGGGACTTTGTTGGATTACTTGAAACTTAGACGCTCGGTCATACTTTTACTTTTTACTGAATAGGTTTTAATGTGCCCAGAACATGAAACAGAGAGAATAAACATGTACTGTGAGCTGTGTAGGAGGCCAGTCTGTCATCTCTGTAAGCTGGGTGGCAATCATTCCAATCACCGCGTGACCACCATGAGCAGTGCCTACAAAACCTTAAAGGTAGGACTGGCTTCTCTGGAACTGGATTTTGGTTTGTTATAATTTCACTTTGTAAGTTTTTATTTATAAAGTCATGGTTTGTGCAGTCTGTTTCATGGAAATGAATTAACAGTGTCTAGTATTACTCAGTGATCTCTTGACACTAGATTGTTAGTATTTCAGAGTGACAGTTCTTTGTGTGCTGGGGATGTGTCTATCACTTTGGTGACCCAAGGACTTTTGGAGTTGTATGCTAGGAAACTAGGCAAAGACCAGAAGTCTAGTCTAGAATTTCATAGCTATCTTTTGCATTCTGAGTTAATTTCCTTATACAGTTTGGACTTTTAGAGACTCTTATAATAGGTTTTTCAATTTGCTTACTCTTCAGTAAGGAAGTGATAATCTAGATTTGTCATTTGGCAAAAGTAGCAAATGGATCTCCCACCTTTTTACTTGGTTTTAGATTTTAAGCTGTGTGTGGGGGTGAGGGCACTACATGATAATATAGCTTTGTATTATCCTTTCTTTTGCTGTTGGCCATTTGAATGTTGAAAGTAGAGAAGAAGAGAAGTGGACATTACACTGTTTTTGTCTTTTGTCTACTGCTTACTAGAACTGCTGCGGCAGAGGCCAGGTTTACCATATGTCTTGTCTATTTGGTCTGACTTCCAGGACAGGTAAACTGTGTAGCTGCATCTTCAGGTTGTTTTGTGAAAGGGTGCCATTTGAATTCTGGAAACTACTTACGCTTTTGGAGGAGTGGACTTAACTAGTAAAAAACTGAATTAGAGGAACAGTCTCACTGCTGGTAGTTTTTCTGAGGTGAAGCCCGTATCTTGTTTTCTTTCTTCTTTCCTTGTAGCCCCTCTGCTTCTCTTAAGCACACAGACATACTTATGTGCTCAAAGTGGGGTGGGCCTGGCTTTCTCTGAGCCGGCTTTTGCTGGCTGACCTCACTCCTTCAAAACAGGGACCGGCAAAGTCCTTTTCATCTTCCTCCTCAGGGAACCCTGTTTATTGCTTCCCCTGACTGTAAACAGGTGTGGCCTACAAAGGCTTTGGAATTCTGTATTTCCCTGTAGAGAAGTCATAGTTGGGTATTCAGTTTCTCTCCTCTAATCTGGCCTCACCTCAAGACCATGATGCTCCATCTTTGGGGAATGCTTCCTAGGATTTTCTCAACTCACACAACTGCACAGCTTTCTCCTCAAGGAGAGTTGGTTGCTGGCTCATTCTTTACTTTGTCTTCTCTGTTTCCGTAATGGTTAGTGGACATCTCATGGAAGAATGTTTGCTGAGGAATTTTTGTTAGTTTTGTTTCCAGTGACTATATCATAAATTTCTAGGAGGAGGAATTAGGAATCTTGCTCCAATACTGTTATCTGTTATGGAAATGAGGGCTTTGATTTTAGACACGTTGTTAATGAGGGCGTCAAAAAGTAGAAGATATAAACATTCCTACAATAGTTCTGAGTACAAGGATGTAATTAATACCGCATTTGAAGGTATGATTTCCACTGTGTTTGTGAACTTCATGGTGATCAGTGTTGTATTTGCTGAAGTAATTGGGCGCTCCTTGCTATTGTGCTAGAAGTATAGTGGTTTCCCAACACAATGGCTTAAGTTCATACCATTGTCAAACATTTATTCCAAGTAAGAGTATACTTGTACAGAATGTGTTATTATACCCCCTTTCTTCCCAAGATTTTATTCTGAACGTTTTCAGAGATAGAAGAAAGCTTACATTACCATTCAAGTTGTCCCCTGTGAGGGCGGGGACCATACTAGTCATTGTTTATTCTCCTAGCCTGCTCATCTAGAGGATATTCAGTGTGTTGAATGGCTTTCTCACTTCCTTCTTCCCTTGTTTTGTAGATTGTGATAAGTTTCTTTGGTACCTTTGATCAAGGACGTGATTAAAGAGGGGGAAGCAGTGGCTCTCAAATTCTGGTGGGATTAGCCACACTGAGCACTTTGGATGCCCTGAAGGGCCCTGGCCTCTGTGCTCTTTTAGCCTTCTGGAGACTCAGATCCACTGCACTGTTTGAGAGCCTTTTCTGGAGGAAAGCTTCTGAGCAGTTTGGAGTCTGGAGAACTGGCATCCTGAATTACTCATCCCTGCTTCCCGGCAGGTGAACTGCCTGTAGGCAGGAGCCTCTCGCACATTTTACCTGTATTGTCAGGACCTACTTGTACCTTTTTGAGGCCTATGACTATAAACGGACATACTGATTCTTGGTTGTAAGAAATCTACCTGTCATTTAAAACAGACTACCTAGTTTTGAGGGCCTTAGAAAGTCTAGAGCTTTCTCAGATAAAAGGTACAGTGACTTTGAGCATTTAAAACCCAATGAGTGCTCTTAGACTATGTTTCTGAACTTTGTCATCTACTCTCTTGTTCTTACCTCCTTGGGCCCATCAACTTATCTTTGTCTTCTTGTAATTTAGCTGTCTTAGTACTAAGCCTTACTTCAATCTATTTATTATTATTGTTGTTGTTATTATTGTGGTACTGGGTATTACTAAACCCGGAGCTTACTAGGCAAGCACTCCATCACTTAAACCATGCCTCCAGTCCTTTCCTTCTGTTTAAATGGCCAAATTCAGCCCCTTGTGACTGTAACTAAGAAAAAACACCAGCACCTGCAGCTAGTTCTTCTGGTCCAGCATGGGCCCGTCAGGGTCAGTGTTAGAACTGTTGTTTGACTTGCAGCTTGGTGCTGAAGAAACACCTCTGCCTGTGGAATGGTGGTTAGTGTCCTGTGCAGTGAGCAGGCTTCTAGTTGACTATGTGGTATTTCTACTCTCTGAGCGTTGCTTTCTTCATCTGTTAAATGTCTCTTATCCTTACCATCCTATAATTTCTTTCTTGGTCCCACTTGTCTTTGTGCCTGGAAATGTTGTTCCTTTCCCTCCCAGGTCCTTCCTCTGTCTCTCCAGTAAGCTCACACTGATTGCTCGGTGTTCTTCTGAAAAGACTGGGGTTCTGCAGTCTGTCACTTCTCTTTTTTGTACACATCCTCTTCCCCTGTGGTGTGTATAAGTTAGATGGAAAGTGGTATAGTGGGAGACTTGCTTCTTAATTCCTAAACACTCAGCTGTTTTCTTTTTGCCTTGCCCTCTTTTTTTTGTTTGTTTGTTTGTTTGGCAGTACTGAACTTGCACTTGCTAGGCAGGCACTCTACCATTTAAGGCACTCTACCAGCCCTCTTGCCCACCCTTTCCATTTCAGATCTTCAGCAATGGCCGGGAGCCTGAAATGCTCCCTTCCTGTCAGGGCTACAGTTTGGAGGTGCTTCCCGGTTGCTGTCACCCTTATCTAACTCTGAATACATCAGTCTATTATAACTTTTACCCCATGCTACTTTTAGGCCTTTTGTTTTTTACAATATACTTCAGAAATATTATAGCGTATTTCTAGGCTAGACTAGGAATGTCACCAAAACCTTTGAGGTAATGTCTATTGCAAATTTTACAAATTCAAAATGACCACCTTAGAAAAACGTAATTCAGTAAACTCTGGAAATTGCCTACTTTTATAAATGTGTATTTATATTCTTGGCTGGGACAGGCTAAGATTATTTTGGACTGGTCCTTGTTGTTTTTCTTGTGTTTGTGTAAGTAAATTATAAAATCAGATGGAAACAGTGCTGTTTGAATTGCTTGCTGCCTTTCACTTGCTTACAGGCAGTAAGAGGGAGAGTTCTGGAGTAAAAATGAAAAACAGAGGTGTACTGTTTGTGTATTTAGACTTTTTGATTGAACTAAGTCACTGCCTTCCTCTTTTTTCCCAGCCTACTTTTAATCTTCCACATATCCTGGGGCCTCTATGCTGAAGACAGTAACCATTTGCCATGTGTTAATGAGAATAATCACCATAGCTGGTTTTACCATCTATTCATCAGAAAGGATGGGTCCTGTGTAATTTTTAAAAAATTCTGCAAAGCCTTTGTTAAACCCTATATATTTTTGTTCATTTGTGTTATGAATGTTTCAACAGGAAAAGCTTTCAAAGGACATTGACTTCCTTATTGGTAAGGAAAGCCAGGTGAAGAGTCAAATTTCTGAACTCAACTTGTTAATGAAAGAAACAGAGGTAAGTGAGAAGCTGGTGTGCGTATTTTTGTTTAGACATTCACTTACAATGTTCACAAAATGCTGAGGATGTTCTATGAGGTGGAAAAACAAAGTTCAGTTAAATCTCAGCCCTGCTTTTCTGGGTCTAGGGAAAAAAATGTAAACACTAAATTAATGATTTGTGATCGGCACTGTGATGGAGTAGTGATTAAATGATACTGGGATACTAAGGAGAGAGTGACTAGCTCTTCATGTGGCAAGAAGCAAGGTCTTAGAAGTAGTAATAGAAGGGAAATCATAGCTTACTCAATTACACGAATTTTTAAAAAAATTCACAGAAGCTGGGTGTGGTAGCTGTAATCCTAACTACTTGGGAGGTAGAAATTTAGCCAGTACAAAAAGTGTGTGAGACTCCCTTCTCAAGTAATAAAAGCTGGGTGTGGTGTCGTGAGCCTGTCATTACAGCCATTACAGCCACATGGGAGGAGTGAATAGGAGGACTGATATCCAGGCTGGTTTAGGCAGAAAAGCAAGACCTTATTTAAAAAGTAACAAAAACAAAAAGGACTGGAGTTGTGGCTCAAGTGGTAGAATGCTTGCCCGTCAAGCATGAGGCCCTGAGTTCAAACCCCATACCACCAAATAAACCAGAACTAAGACGAAAATCCCCCACAAATCCAGATTGCCTTTGGATAGGTCCAAGTTTATTTAAAATTTTTGGTTTTCCTGAGTATGTGCTCTACATTTATTTACAAAAAGATATGGAGGAGTGTCCATGGCCGCTTTGTCTGTGGTAGCCACAAGTGGAACAAAGGCCTATCAACAGTGGACTCCAGATAGCAGTGAGGATGTGTGAGCTGCAACTCACACACTGCCCAGCAGTGAGGACCAGCCTTGTAATCATGGTGAGGAAGATGCTGGATACACAGGAGTGTACATTGTGTGATGGTGCTTGCAAGAAGTGGCCCTGATGGGGACACCAGATTGTGCTTTTAGAATTCAAGGTAGTTGAGAAGGGAGTATTAGTGCCCACACAGGTCATCAGAGTGGCCTCTGGGTACCAGACATCGTCTTTCACCTAACTGGGATGCACTCACTGCTGGCTGCGTGTGTGGTCATAAAGATTGATCCATTTTCACACTCAGGTACACTGTCCTATTTGTATGTTATGCTTCAAAATAAATAGAAAAAAGTAATAAAAAATTAAAATATAGCCAGAGAGGATAGAACTGGGTTATTTTAGAATTCCAAATATTTTCTGCTGGCTTGGATGTATACCTGTTTCTCTTCTCTTTTTGAAACAAACTTAAGAACCATTACTCCCAGTCACTTTAAAAGTTGTGTTTAAATATGAAACTATCCTGACTAGTAGGTTACATCTTGGAAGATTTTTTTTCCCCCTCTCAAAATGGAGTGAAATTTTTGAGAAATGATGTGAGTCTGGCGATATGGCTCAGTTGTAGAGCCTCCCAAAAATAATCCTTTGAATTACCAGCATTGATTATGTTTTTAATCTTGTTTTCCTGATGTTCCCATGTACCACCATAAAAAGTACTCCTTTGTTTTTCCATGTAATTTAAAATGGGATTTCTGTTTCCATATTTTTTTCTGAGTGACAAACTCTGTTTGGTCTAGTAGTTTCCCAACACAGACCGAGTTAGCACCTGGCTGGGTCTCTCCAGGGATTGTATCTTTGGTCATTTTAGGCTTGTCTTTACCCTGTAATTTCTCCCAGTCATGCTGAAATGAGGAAATTAGGAAAAATCGGCATTAGTTTTGGGTTTATCATCCAGTAGGTTGAAATGAGGAACCCAGGGATTAAGTGTTTGTTTAGCCACTGATTTCCTGAGATTCTGGAGGAAATAATTGAACATTTTTGTAGTTTTGACTTGAGCTGCACTTGTAGGCTGATAGTGAGAATCTTGTACACTGGAGAATTTGTTTCCATTCTTGATTTTTTTCTTGTTATCCTGGGATTTGAATTCAGGGCCTGTTCATGCTAGGGAGACACTTTGCCTCTTGAGCCATGTCCTCAATCCTTTTTTTTGCTTCAGTTGTTTCTCAGATGGTGTCTTGTAATTTTGCCTAGTCCAGCCTTAGACACCGATGACTTCCTATGTAGCTGGGATGACAGGTGCACACCATCACACCCAGCTTGTTTATTGAGATAAGGTCTTGATAACTTTTTGCACAGGCTGGCCTTGAACCATCATCCTCAAGTTCTCCATCTCCCAGGAATCTGGGATTACAGTTGTGAGCCACCAAACCCTCCATTCTTTATTTTTACTCAGAGATGAGGGTGACACTCTTTGTGTCTGCAGTCATATTTAGCTGGAATTTTAAAAATCTGTGTAATGATATTTGTGAGCTTAATGTTACAATATGTCATTGAAAAACTGTCCACATGTCACTGTTCTCTGTCCTTTCTCTTCTTTAAAAGTATGACTGCTGAAGATAGAAACAGAGAAGGGAATCTGGAGAAAAAAAGATTCCTTTCACTGTAAGTGTTGGCCAAAGGCCATTGCAAAATGCACAGTGTACTTCTGCCATATATTGTTAGCGTTTAAGAATGTTCTTGAAGGTTTTTTTCTGTTGGGTCTAATATGATAAGTGCTTTTGAGTCCTCTGTTGATCTTGTTTTTAAAATTACATTAGCTCTGATTTTACAGGAATTCAAAATGTCTGGACCAGGCAAAGTGGTACTCGCCTTATCCCAGCATTCAGGAGGCTGAGGCAGAAGGATCAGGAGTGAGGCCAGAGACCCTGCCTCAAAACAAACAATCCACCCCTCCAAAATAAAACACAAATTAAAATGTTTAGTGAACACTATAGATAGGATTGCTATGACAAAGTAGAGAAATAACTGTATGAGATGATAGAAATGTTTAGTATGTGATTTTGTGATGTGCATTTTATATAAATAATGTTTTGTATTCTTCCTAAAAACTTAGTTTCTCTTGTGCACAAGGTTTTTTTGTTTTGTTTTGTTTTTTGGTGGAACTCAGGGCCTCACAATTGCTAGGCAGGCGCTCTACCATTTGAACCACTCCATCAGCCTTTTTTTGTTTTGGGTGTTTTCGAGAAAGGGTCTGGCAAACTATTTGCCTAGGCTGTCTTTGATCTGTAATTCTCCTGATCTCTGCCTTCCAAATAGCTAGGATTACAGATGTGAGCCACTGGTGCCTCACTATCCACAAGATTTTTGTTTGTTTGTTTTCTTTTTTGGTGGGGAGAGGTGGTGGGAATTGAACCCAGGGCCTTGTTCATACTAAGTTACCACGAAGCTATACCCCAGGCCCAATCCAAAGTTTTTGCAAGAGAAAATTCCCCCATAGAGAAGTTAAATAATTTACCTGAGTCACACAGCCCAGTCATGATTTAATTATAATTAAAATAATTTAAAAAGGAGACTTCTTTTTTTATATCTTAGTAAAGAGTGTCATTTTTATTTTTATTTATTTGTGGCTATGATTTAACTTTGGAAAAAAATTGGGATAGCATTAAAAGGGCTAAAAAAAATTCCTGAATTTGACATGAATCCCAAACTTCAGAATTGTGTTGTTCTATGCTTGTGATTCAAGCAGTTCATTTCTGCTTCAATTTCCTTTATACATAACTGAAAATTTCTTGCTTATTTAATTGAATAGATTGTCTGTTGCTGGACTTTGGGAAGGAGAAGCTTAAGGAAGTAGACATGATGAATTACAAAGCAGTTCAAACAACAGTGGTTCTTTGCTAAGTGTATTTGATGGCAAACTACTCTTTTTGAAAATTTCAGAGTCAGATAGAACACTTTTTCTTTGCAGTATCTGGGTTTGTTTTGTTGGCTTTTGATAATTTCACCATCATACAATGAGTACAATTCTTAGAACTTTGTGAAGAGGCATTTGGGTTGAGGATGAAGTAATTCCTGTCGGTTTCACAATAGTGCAACGGAGAGAGAGCTAAAGAAGAAGCCATCTCACACTTTGAAAAGCTCTTTGAAGTCCTTGAAGAGAGGAAGTCATCTGTTCTGAAGGCCATAGATGCATCTAAGAAACTGCGACTAGACAAATTCCAGACTCAAGTGGAGGAGTATCAGGGTCTCTTGGAGAACAATGGGCTTGTGGGGTATGCCCAGGAGGTGCTAAAGGAGACGGACCAGTCGTGCTTTGTCCAGACGGCAAAGCAGCTCCATCTCAGGTATTGTTTTTCACTTTTCACTGGGGAGGATGTGTGAGAATGTCCTTCAGCAGCACCACGCACATTTCAGCATCAGTTCTGAGTGACTCATGATGCTGCATTCATAAGAAGTAGGCCTTGCTTCATTCTTGAATGTTGAGGGAAGTGGAAGTTTTCTTTTGATTTGCCTTTTCAAGAATCGTTTTTATATAAAACATGTCTTTCTACAGAATACAGAAAGCTACAGAATCATTGAAGAGCTTTCGACCAGCTGCTCAGACTTCTTTCGAAGACTATGTTGTGAATACATCTAAACAAACGGAGCTCCTTGGGGAGTTGTCCTTTTTCTCCAGTGGTAAGTCTCGGTGAAGGCCAAACCACATCCTTTCAGTCTGAATTTACACTGGATAGCAAAATCTTCTGACATTAGGAAGTAGCATCATAGCTGCCCAGGGTTATAATATGCTGACATTGTATGTTTTTATGACAGGGTTTTTATTCTTAACATGAAATCCTATTGGCTTATGTGTTTCAAACATTGCATAAATGATATCACATTGTATGTATCCTTTTTTTTATAAATTGCTTTTTAAAAATATATTTAGATATTAATACATGAAATTGTTTTAAAGCTATATTTCTATATTTTAACTGTTTATAGTATTTCATAGGTAAATAAACCACTTCCATACTGAGAGACCATTTGCTTCTGTTTTTCCTCTTATCTATAAGCATGCTGTGTTGAACACCTTTGCCATGTCTCTTTGTACATGTGTGTGTGAGTTTCTCTAGAAACCTAGAAATAGACTCCAAAGGCTAAAATTGACTGCAGGTGTTTAGGTGTTGACTAGTTGCTCTGTTAGTTTGCCAGGGCTACCATAACCAGGGATTGCAAAGTGAATGGCTTGAATGATAGAACTTTTCTCATGTTTCTGGTGGGCAGAAGTCTATGATCACAGTGTTGGCTTCTCTGAGGCCTCTCTCCTTGGCCTATAGATGGCCTCATTCTTCTCCCTGTGTCTCCACACCATCTTCCCCCTGTACACATCTGTGTCCTGGTCTCTTCTTAGAACGACATCCGTCATACTGGCTTTGGGCCCTTTGCAATGACCTCATTTTCATTTAATTTCCTCTTTAAAGACCCTGTCCCCAAACAAAACTCCCATTCTAAGGATTATGGTCACATTCTGGAGGTTTTAGGAGTTCAACATACACATATTTTTTTTCCTCTGAGAGGGAACACAAGTCCATAATTCTGCCTGTAACACTGGCTTCTGTTTGTGTGTTTTGCTCCTCCCTCTCTTCCTGTTTTCCTTCTCACATGTCATCTCCTTGGTCTCCCTCAGGTTCCTCTTCTGGTAATGATAAATCATCACAGTTCTTAGAAAGGTCTAGTCCAATCACTGTAAGGTGCAGATCTGTGGACTGGCACATTCAGCTAGAGGAAATTTGTCTTATTAAAATTAAAAATCCATGAAGGATTACTGTGACCGCTTTTCTTTTTAAATCTGTACCTGATAGATATTTATTACTATTTCACATGCTGATTCTACTCATACACTGTAGTCCCCATTTCCAAACCATTTACCTCCACTGCTTTTTGGGTATATGTTAGCTTACCTGTGAGGCCAAGGTCCTCCCTCCCTTGTTGATCCCCAAACTGTCTCTGGAGGGGTGAGGGTGAGTGTCGGTAATCTTGGGTTTCTGAGTTTGGGCAGAGGACCACTAAGGTGGGTGGGTGAGAAGGAGGAGGAGTTACCCAGCTTCCTGCTGCTGGGCGTTCCCTTCAGTTTTTCCTACATGCGCATTTTTTGCTAAGCTGCTTCAAGAAAAGAAAAGGGTTTGGGGTAGGGCGTAACACTATTCATGTTGTTCTGTAAATTGTTCCTTTTCTTAACTTAAAAATTTATTTTGGATGACTTTCCAGATCTCATTATAGCTGTTTAGTATTCAGGTGTATAAATATACTGTACACAGACTAATTATGCACTGCTAATACAGATCAGGGGATAGGGAGAAGGGGGAACCTCTCTTTTTCATTTCAGGCCCTCCTTTGTGATTTGATATAAATGGTGTGTTTATGTATTCACGCACGTGTAATTTTTATAGCTTATTACACATGATCTAAGCTTAGAAATCTAGTCTATAGAGAGGATTATGCATATGCACAAAGATTTAACTGTGATATTTTATTTTATTTTTTCAAATAAGTTGGTTTAATTCAAGGTACTACAAATTCAGAGTACAACAAAGACCAAAGAACAGAGTTTGGCAGGGTTCCAGGACAGGTTTAATTTAAATTCACAGCTGAGGTACAAATGGCTGACAAACTAGACACAAGCCACTATATGATGATTTTTTTTTTTCTACAAAAGTTGCTTTTTCTTAAATGTACAACACTTCATTCCAGCTATTGATGGCAAGAGGGGTTATTGCAGAGAATCCAGATGTATAAATCGGAATGGAATCAGGGTCACTATCATCTCAGGCAAAAGATGCAGATTTTTTTGCTTGATTTCTTAATTCCACCTGTGGCCAGGGGGCTGTTCCCCATGACCTTCACTTTTAGCTCCTTAAGTTTCTTCTGCTTCTCTTTTTGTTTCTGTAAGGAAATATAGGCCCCAAAAGTGACCACGTGGAGAGGAGTGATCTGGCCAAGAGATTCTTTATTGCCGGGTGGGAGAGGGAGAGAGGAGAGAGAGGAGGGGGGGGGGGAAGGGCAGGGGCTTAAACACCCCTCAGAAAGACTGAGGATGATCTGATTGGTTAGGATCTTATGGTTCATGCTGATTGGAGGTTGGGGCAGAAGGAGGATTCAAGCTAGGCTTGAGGCAGGACTGTGACCCTGGGAGGCAGGACTGTGACCCTGGAAAACAGAAGCTTAAGGGTGCAGTAAGAACTGAAACCTATCGGTGCCATTATTGCCAACAGTTTCTGCTTGAAAACCTTGTCTCCCTCATCCATCTCCTTGGCCTGCTTCTTGGGCTGTTTCAGGGGCTTTTTCTTGCCAACATTGAGGCTGGACATGGTGCCTGCCACCTTTCCCCAAGACCCACTAGCTGTGATACGTTAATCACTGTATCTTCAGTGACATACTAGAACCCTTTTTCCACAAAATAGGTCAATATTGATATACCCATTCAGTGGAATGTCTTTGGGGGAAAAACACTGGCAGGATCTATGTAAAATTGTTACTGTGATTATCATTGAATTATCTTATTTTTTAAATGTATTCTTTAGTTTCTGGTTTTCTTAACAAAAATATGTATTGTGTTTATACTAAGAAAAACTATATGGCTTTGCAATTCTACAGAAGAAAATATGAAAGGAAATTATGTGAAGTTCATTGAGAGTTTCAAGTCGTCACCAAACATAGATTTTAAAATATTAAAATAATAATTTGTTTATGGGAGCATGTGGGTGAAAAATTTCAAATCCAGTTCTGTTATTAGGTTTGTGAAAGGTATATGGTTCAAAAATGTTACTTACCGTATTTCAGAATAATGATGATTCTTAAAGCTGTCATTAAGCCTCAATTTTTATCTTATTTTTTATCTTTTTTTCAGTTATGATCACAAATTAATGTTATATTTGCTCTTTTGTTATGCATAGTATTGTAAATCTAGAAAATTCATGGACAGTATAGAAGTCATTGTCAGTGCATCATTATGTACTGAGGAAAGGTACAAGTTTTGAAATATCAGTATCTTAACATTGTTTTCTGTTTCCTAATTCTTTCAGGCGTAGATGTGCCTGAGATCAATGAGGAACAGAGCAAAATTTATAACAATGCCTTGATAACTTGGCACCATTCGGAAAAGGATAAAGCTGATAGTTATGTTCTTGAATATCGGAAGATCAACAGAGATGAAGAAATGGTGCCGTGGAATGAGGTGGAAGTCTCTGGCACAAGTAAAGTTGTCTCCAACCTTGAAAGCAACTCTCACTATGCTTTCAGAGTGAGAGCCTACAAGGGCTCCATCTGTAGTCCCTGCAGCAGAGAGCTCACACTCCACACTCCTCCAGCTCCAGGTACTGGGAACACTGGAATTAAAGATGCACAGAGTAGCAAGAGACTTGACCATGTAAACCATCAATGTCTCCATGTTGGAGACCAGCTCTTGGTTTTAAAAGACCCCAGACAAGTAGATTACATACCTAGCTGGGATACAGAAATTGAACTGAACACTTGAATTTCACCTTCTAGGCTGAAAACAGGATTAGACTATTGTCAGTCAGAGTAAAACAGGAAAGGTATTTGAGTAAGCAGGGCTAAATTGGGATTAAAATTACATTAATGCTACCTGTAAAGTTTAAAATAGAATATTGTTTGGTCAGTTTTAGAAATATCTAAAACATAGGGTATAGCTAGACATTTAAAAGTTTATTAGTATAATGTCCTGAAATTTAACCTTGATGTAACCTGATCCTGACTTGTCTAGGTTGTCTAACTGTGTGATCTCAGCCCAGGGGGAGGAGGGCAGCCTGTGATAGAGCCATAGCCACCTGGATACTTTTTCTCCCACACTAGAAACTCTTTGTACCTGGCTACCCTCCTTCCCCCTTCCAAGTTAAAATCCACTGATGCTACTTGCAGACTGAAGACTTTTGTAGAATGAGGATGAGACAGGTTAGTTGATGTGCACTACAATGTCTCTGTGGATGAGGGTGACGTTTAACCCAAAGCTGTGCTCAGTCTGGTTGGCAGGAAAGCATTTGGCCCCTTCAGTCTCTCCCTGAGGGATATCTTCAGTTGGTTTTGAGAACCACTGTCCCTTGCCCATTTTTAGTGGCATATGTACCCACGTTTCTTGTGTTTTCTCCTTCCTTCCTTTTTTTTGTACAAAATAGAATATCAGTATATATATATATTACCCTCTGTTTTTTGGGCACATCATGGCCTAACAAATCAGATGACAGATATATAGAGTAGACTAAAATTACTTTTCTTGAACTTTAATAAAATCTGGTAGAGTATTGGAGTGAATTTGCAAGTATGCTGTAGAAATTTTATGGTTTGTGCTATTTCTGCTTTCTTTTCTAGTCTCTGACCGAAAGTAGAAGAAAAAGGATTCTGAACCTAGCTGCTGTTTTCAGTAACAGTTGTTGGGGAAGAGGAAGGGAAATTTCAGGGGTTGTCTTCCTTTTTTTCTGAGAGAAAGCATCTGAATTGGGGGACACTTTAAATTTATTGGACAAACTAGGGGAGTTTGGAGATTGAAAGAAATAGGAATAATTACACCAGGATGCTAGGTCTCACCAGGAAGAATGGTCTGCTTACACATGGGGGATGGCTTTAGTTTGCTAGTGGCCATTTTTTTAAGTTATGGTATAATATAGATGAAGTTTATCATTCTAACATACACTTTGATGACATTGACTACAATTACAATACTGTGCAACCATCATCACTCACATCTCCAGAATGTTTCCATCATCCCAAACTGAGATGATTAAGTATTAATTTAATCGTGAGACTAATTCCCTCTTCCCTCTCCCCACAGAGACAGGTACCCTCTGCTCTCATTCTGTCTGTGAACTTGCCTCATTTAAGTAGGGTTGTATGACATTTGTTCTTTGCATTTGGCTTCCGTCTAGTGCCATTTATGTATTGGAATTTCCTTCTGTGCATTCATGGGTTGTGGACATGTGTTGTTTCTGCATGCTTCTTGGAGTTGAGTTCCTCCATTCCTGTAAATGAGGAAGTGAAAGTTTAAATCAAAGTCTAGCTAAGTCTGAGGAGAGATGCAAACCTAGGCTTCTTTGAACTGAAAGCTGTTTTTTTTTTTCTAAGAACACTAATGTTATGTCTGCCATATTGGTTGATAAGGAAAAGGCCTTTAAAAATAGCTAAAATTGTCCAAATTTATAAAATTTGTAATACACATTTATGAAAATGTAGTCCTTTGTATTTTAAGGACAAAGAATGATTAAATAAGTTCAAATATCTACAATTGATTTGATATCTCTATGCCAAAGAAGTGCATTTATAAATGTTTACTTTTAAAATATTTTCTTCTGGTTTTGAGATTTCTGAAGATTTTCAGGTATAAAGAATATACTGGAAGTTACTGCTAAGTTTTCTGGGTTTGTATGATACCTTCTAGTTTCTCTTCAGTAATTTTTATCTGAGGGACTTAATCACATTTGGTCTTAAGTTATAGAATTGCTGAGAGATGATTTTCAGACTGATCTTAAGCTCTATTTAGTTTTCAGCTTCCTCTTTGATGAAAAATGTGGCTATAATAACGAACGCCTCTTGCTGAACTTGAAAAGAGACCGGGTAGAGAGTAGAGCTGGATTTAATACTCTTCTTGCTGCGGACCGGATCCAAGTGGGTTATTACACCAGCTTGGACTACATCATCGGAGATGCTGGAATAACAAAAGGGAAGCACTTTTGGGCCTTCCGCGTGGAGCCGTATTCATACCTGGTCAAAGTGGGAGTTGCCTCCAGTGATAAACTACAAGAATGGCTCCACTCTCCCCGGGATGCAGTGAGTCCAAGGTACATTGAGGTAGAACCTGATAATTATTTCACAAATAAACACCCACAGGTAGCATGATAATCCTGAAAATAGACTTGGATCTGTTTATTACATTTGGGATGTACATTTCTTAGGTTCAGGTATTTTGACTCTGATTATGTGGCTGGCTTTACCACAATTCATACATTATTATTCAGTTCATACATTGAATAATGAAATTTACAGTTAATTTTTGATGCCTTGAGGAACAAAGTCTGTTTTGGGTACCAGATGATTATGATATAAGTTTCATAGTTTTAAATTTTCAAAGTCTCTTACACAGTACCTAAATTTTCTAAAAATTATCCACATATATAGTGAAATACCTCTAATCACCAAACTTCACAACTGATATCAAGTTGTCCTTTTGTTATGGGGCAATTTCTTTAAACCTTCTCTTAATCCTTTACAAAAGTAGATCATCTTAGACATGTTTCCCTAGTGTTAAGAATGATAGAGATTGTACAGTTTTAGTTTCTTTTAAATGAGATAAGGTGAACTAACCTAGGCAAATAATTACGTGAACAACATCCCAGATTAATCTCAATGATAGGGAACACTTTTTTTGCACTGAGATGAGGTATTCACATACACTGGATATTATCATAATTAAACATAGTGGCATGTCCACTTGGTGTGGAATATTGGGATTCATGTTTAACAGTTTATAATGAGAAATACTAGAAACAAAAGAACCTGCTTTAAATTGATGCAGTGTGATCCCAAATATATAAAAAGCAATCGATGCATAGGAACAAAATGGAAGGATCATGTATCAGAATTTTCTATGAGCTTTTATTGTTTTATAATACAAAGAATAAAAACTTTGTGATCTCTTCTTGATGTAGAAATCCCAACCAGGGAATACGAGTTCTCTGAAGGAAAACCTTCTGTGTTATTTTGCTGTGTCCACTAACTTGTCTTAGCCTGGGAATTGCTTAGATTTGGGCATAGATCTTGTCTTGTATTTTCTTTTATATGATTGTGTGCCATAAATATTTAATCTTTAAGCCAGTCTCTTCATTCCCCTCTTCCCTTCTTTATTTTTGTTCTCACTGGGTGAAAGTGAATGATATTTAATGAGAGGGAGTTTAGGCTGGATATGTGATATAATTCCAAATGGCAATTTGTAACCTTTGTGCTTTTAATGGATTGTTTCAAGAGGAAGAAAGCTTTTTGTGTAACTTTAGATCAGTGTATACCATCTTGTGGAAATTTTTGGAAGGGAGTGGAAGGCTATGGATGAAGATATAGATAATGTGTTGTGTGTTGTTTTAGGTATGAACAGGACAGTGGACATGACAGTGGAAGTGAAGATGCCTGCTTCGAATCTTCACAGCCTTTCACATTAGTTACTATAGGCATGAAGAAATTTTTTACACCCAAGTCACCGACTTCTAACGAACCTGAAAACAGAGTTCTCCCCATGCCAACAAGCATAGGGATTTTCCTTGACTATGATAAAGGCAAAGTGAGTTTCTATGACATGGATCACATGAAATGCCTTTATGAGCGCCAAGTGGATTGTTCACACACAATGTATCCAGCGTTTGCCCTAATGGGCAGTGGAGGAATCCAACTTGAAGAACCCATCACAGCGAAGTATCTGGAATATCAAGAGGATATGGAGTTTAAAAATCCCATGTGACTAGGATGGAACATGTAAACAACACAATGCCTTGGCATTAGCCTTTGTAACTAATTACATAACATTTAAGTCTTCTGTCACACTTGTTTTTGTGTATGATTCACCTTAAAACACAGAAAACCTAAATAAGCCTTGTCTCTTCCATGTTATTCTGCCTTTCACAAATGAGAAGAATGAAGACTCTTTCCTAGTTAGTATGGGATCTTCGCAGCTGGATCGTCTTGACTTTCTCTTTAAGCACAGGGAATCTAATTTATTTATGTCAGTTGTTGTTGCTGATCCTTACATTCCTTTTTGGGGGGGTGGGAGTGGGATACAAAAGTATTTATTATGCCTCTTTTGTGTTTGGTTTTTTGTTTTTATTTCATGTTTATGTCTTAAGAGATTTTTTTTTAAATGCCTGTGGATAGAAGTTAGTCCTAAGAGGTATGTCTTGCATTTGTTTTTAATAGGAAAATGAAGCTATAGGTAGGTAGAAGAGACAAAGACCATAAAATGATAGTATATTTAAGTGAAAAATTATGTAAAGTGTGTAATTATTAAGATTATATTGCTTGGAAAGTGAACACTCCTTTTTTTTTTTGAGACCACAGATTGTATTCGTGAAGATATTTTAAAGAGTTCCTTTAGCTCACATTGTAAACATGTCTTCTTAAAGGAAGCTTGAGATTCTTGGATAACCCATGAAACGTTTCACTTCATATATTTTTTTTTTCCAGAATTTATCTTCCACTCTTCTTACTCTTGAAAATGTTTCTGTTTATATCAAAGAATTATTTTTTAGGAATCTTGGTGAAGATGGATTGATATTGGTGTCATATTTGTTCCTTTGTCCTCTCATTATATATTGTGATTTTTATTTTTTGGCATAGATACTACATATCAAACATTTCCTGGCTTATGTTTACAAATTTGAAAGTTGGTAACATATTTTAGTAGCATTAAATATGTTATAAAATGTGGAGTAGCTACTTGTTCAGTTGTGTGACATTTTCTATGGCTCATTGGTAATAAACATTTATAGTATAAACAAGTAAAAGTACAAATTTAATTGTTTAGGAAGAATAGCTAAAAATCAGGACTGTGTGTTCCCTTATAAAAAAGTTGAAATTTTTTTAATTTGAAGAATTACACTTTCTAAATGTTTGAAAGCTATACTTTTAGATATTTGATTTTATTTAAACTGCTTATTTTTTTAAGTTGAATGTTCAGAAACTAAGACATGCATGTTAGCACCAGTCATTTATGGAATGTTACTGACATTTTAATGGGATAACCAAAACTCTTGGACCTGTTTATTTTTATTTTTTTTAAATGAAAAATCTGTTTTTCAGCCTGATAGCACTGCATCAGATGTCTGCCCCCAACCCAAGTAGACAACACCATGGAGAATTTGTGTTTAGTCATCTGTTTCTTCCCCATCTATGACTTGCACTTTATGACATAAACTGAACCAAGCAAATACACAGTGTTAAGCGGATCGCTGTGCAATAAAGTCACTGAAGTCACATATGTGGTTACGTCAGATACTCTGAATCTGTGTGATAAGCCCATGTCATGTAGGCATTTTTAAGTAGAACATTCTAACAGGAGTAAGAAAGCTGTTCTGTTGAATAGTTGAATGTAAATGGTTCAATAGACCTTCTTTCATTTTTAACTAAAAGTTAAAAGGAGGTCTAGGGACTTTTCACATGTGTTGTGGGAAATTAAAATATTTATTAAAAGATATTAACTTGGAGTTAAAGTTTTATGTAAAATTATTTTGACCATTTGTTTATCAGCTTTTATTCTTGCAGAAGTTATCAGCAGAAAAGTTTAACTTGGCACTAATTTATTTCAGTTGATCAATTTGTCCAATATTTCTTTTTCTGATTCATTGCAGGTTAGATTTTGACCAGATGAATGGTCCTTCAGTTCACATTCAGCCTCTCAGAGTACAGGACACTATTAGTCATGGTCAGTGGCGGGTCATGAGTTGTTATTAATGCTTGTTTTAAAGAAATATTAAAACAAGAGAAGGTTGAATGCTAGCCCTGTGATACTATCTAATCACATATTTGCAGATACTTTTCTTTTTCTGTCTTTTGGTGGGACTGGTGTTTGAACTCAGGGCATTACTCTTGTAAAGCAGGCACTCTACCACTTGAGCCATGCCTGCAGTCTATTTTTGCTCTGGTTATTTTGGAGATGGGGTCTTACAAACTATTTGCCTGGGTTGCCCTCAAACTTCTGATCTTAGCCTCCCAAGTAGCTAGGATTATAGGCTCACAGTTGCTTTCTTGAAATCATCCTTTGGGAATGGAACATACTCTGAGCCTGATAAATCATTTGTCAGGGCTCAGAGTCTGATTGGCCCTGGGTTATGTCCTCAAAAGATGACTTACATCTCAGTGAAGGTTAGAGCAGAAAGGAAGGGTGTTATCTGGCAGGAGCTGAGGCCACCAGAGATGTACCATCCTCAACTTGATCTGCCGGCGCTGTTTATTGACCAAACCCACTGGAAGCCAGCCAGCAAGGGTGTACAGATGGCAGGGGTCATCTTGGAACAGAGAAGGAAAAGATAGACCTGGTAGTCCTGAGGTTGAGGTACAAATGGAAAATAACTGGCACAGTGGGAAAGAGTTTGATGGATTTGAGGGGAAAGTAGGGAGGTGATTGGTCGTTGTGCTGACTGCTTTGAAAAGGCTATTTAGAATGTTCTGAAATGTCAGAACACATAAAAATCAACTGCCAGAAGACTTCGAAACTTTTCCCTTCCAGCTTTCTGATTTGTTTCCAGACAACCATTCCATGCTAAGATCATCTGTGAGACTACTGGAATTGCTGCTTCTCTGAGTCTACATTCTCTTGGCTAAGATCCTCCCTTTCAAATAGAAAAGAAATTACTCAGTGCTATGTTAAGAAAAGTAATGTCATGTTTGGCTAGACTTGTCTGCATGTTGAAGATTGCAGAATACTGTCAAAAGGAAAATAAAATGTGTCATGTATAAATTGTAGACTATAGTCTGATCATCTATGGCTAATTTTAAAATAACTTAATAAAAGTATTAAATTTTAAATCATCTTCCCTTTTTCCATAAATTCCTTTAAAAAACCTATCTACAAACTTAATGGCTGGTTTTTTAAAAACCATGTATGATTTTGGAAGACACTAAAGTTCCTTTGTGTTCATATTGTCATGTGGTTCAGATGCAGTTTTGAGTTTGTGCTGATTGACAGAGTGTATGATGGGGTCAGCTTCCTTTTCTTCTGAATCTTGATCTCCTAAGACGGCATCTTCTAAGCATAGAGCTAATAGCCCTTGGAATATTATACCTGCTTATGATTTTTAAGATAATCGGAGCAACCATGCTGTCCTACTGTCTTTGCTAGGAAGGTTGAAGAACAGTATTAACTACTGTAAAATTGCAACTTCTTCAAAATAGTATGGTTATATTATCTGTATATATCCAAAATATTAAATGCAGGGTTTATAAAGTCAAAGATGCATTCAAAATCATAGACTTCCAGTCCCCCACCTCGATCCAGCTTCTCAGAGTAGGTGGCTTTCACTCTTGGTTCTTCTTTACAATGTTCATTTCATCTGACAATCTTAGGTATGATTTATGAATATCATAATGTTAAATCATTATTATAAAACTATTGTTCATTATTTAGCCAAGTAGTATATTATGACTAATTTTCTATATAATATTTTTTACTTCTTAATGGCATTTGTAATTGTCTATTTCATATACTTCATTGTTTTTGAAACTTCATGTTTCTACACCTTCCAAAAGCTCGATGAAATCCTTCAAAAAGGCTTCCACTGGGTCAAAGATGTTCCTTTTGTGTTTTGGTGGAGTCTTTGCTAGAGCTCTTTGTCATCTTGTTTCAATATGGACTGGTTTGTTCCTGGGTCTGCTATATAGTCCTCGCAGGTTCCCTTTTAACCTTTCTTCTAATTTGCATCCCACTTTCTGGATCTTGGTTTGTTTTTTTTTTAAGTTGTTTTTTGTCATCATTTTAATATAGTATCTTCTCCAGTGAGTGAAGGTTCACGGAAGGTGGAATTTAAATTTTTTTCATGTTCCAAAGTTTATTCTAACTTCCCACTTAATGTTTCAAAGCCATTTTCCTATTTTTCAAGTCACTGTTGTGTTGTTTTCTAATGCCCAGCCTTGTGTGTGAAGTCTGATGAAATTTGATTCTTGGTTTCTTTACATGTGACCTGTTTGTCTTCCATGGAAGCATTCAGCTCCTATTTCTATCTCTGTTGTTTTGAAATTTTATAATATTTCTTTGTGTGGGTCATTTCTGGGTATTTGATTTTTCCCTTCATTTCTGGGAACTTTTCTTATATTATTTCACATCACTACTTTTTTGGAAATCTACTAGTCAGTTACTAGACAGCTTCATTTTGAAAGCAAGCTGTTATTTTATTGATATAGTATTTTTATTACTATTAAGAGTTTCAATTATTGTTTCTTTGAAAAAAACAATTTTTTTGAGAAAAAATTTTGGGCTTCATTATCCAGGCTGGCCTCAACTCCTAAGGCTCATGTTATCCTCCTGCCTCAGCCTCCCAAATGGCTTGGGAATACAGTCATTCACCACTATGCCTGGCTGAAATTTTATTTTTTGTTTGCTCACTGCATTTCCTTTATGTATTTCCATATGCTTTTAAGTTTTTCTTTATTATTTTCCAACTTTGATTGAGGGAATATTCTCAAATGTTTGGGTTTTTTTTTTGTTAAAAATATGCTTTTTAAAATTGTGCTGGGTTGGGGTTACATCGTGCATTTACAAAAGTTCTTACAGTACATCAAATATCTCATCCTTGAATTCACCGCCCCCACCATACCATTCTCCTATATCCCCTCTCCCTCCATTCCTGGAACAGTTTAAACAAGTCTCATTTTTGCATTTACATACATGTGTACACAGTATTTGCACCATATTCACCCTCCTTTAGTGTTTCCCTTCCTCCTCCCCTCTCCCACTGGTACCAACCCACTCATGGAGGACCTGTTTTGCCCTCCTATTCCCTGACTTTGTAAAAGAAAAAAAAATAACATTTTTTGTTTAAGATAGCTACACAGGGAGTTTCCTTGTGGCACTTCCATGTATATATGTATTATAACCTGAATTGGTTCATCTCTATTTTTCTTTCTACCTTAGTCCCCTACTTACGGTGATTTCCACAGGTTTAAAAATTCTATATTCATTCTTATAGAGAGTACATCAACCATA